CACGACATGATAAGTTATAATTGAAAAAGTGTGGTTATGAGAGAGCTGATAATACAATTAATAGTGGAAATGGTTTTGCATAGAGTTTAAATTGGTCTTAACGTAGTATTTGACAAAATCCCGACGAATATGTTTACACGAGTATGATTAAACACTAGTATGATTACAGACAGAATTGGAAGACTCAAAATCCTATCAATTATTCAAAACTATGAAGAGATTTGAAAAACAAAATAGTCATCAATTATACGTGTCCTACTACACTGTCCATTTACGAGCATGTCGTACATACTGTCCTAAAAATGCTCAAATCAGGCTGCTGATAAACCAATCACAGTCAGGAATTTTGTCACAGTTTTGATTATGATGCAAGTATTTTTGGCAAGTGCACTTGTGAAGAGACTGTTGCTCGCTATATATAGAATTTCTTAATGAAGCTAAGCTAGGGCTTCAAAAGACTTGCAAGACATTTTGACCTAGTCATTTTCATAAGTAAGGAAAATTATTTACGCAAAGGATATTTCTAATGTTTCTTTTTTTCATTATTCAGACATTTTTTCATACACTCTCGGTAAACGTTATTTTCACATGTGCTCATGGCACTTTCAACGACTACCCCGATACGATCACGTGCAGTTTCACGCCGCGATCACGTGTTAAACCTTCTTCCACCGCTGACTGTGGTCAATAGAGAGGAAGCTACCGCACATGATCGTTTGTTCTCAGATGATCCACCTCCAAGGAAATACGCAGCAAATTTTCCAAGTAAAGTTCTTCGACACCTTGGGGCATGGACATTTTATTCTGCTCCAACAAAAGGAGAATTAGCTCTACTTGACAAAAGTATGTATGATTTGGACAAGAACAAGGAAAAATTGGACAGAACAGACGGCGAGGAAAAAATTGGGAATAAGAATACTGAGAAACATTCCCACTACACCAACGATATCAAAAGTGGACCGGAAGTGAGAGGGGGTGAGACTTTAAAGGAGAGGAGAGAAAAAACAATGAAAGACGCAAAAGAAAAACACAAACAGAAAAGCAAGATAAAAGAGGAAAAAAATTCATCCGTCTCTACACAGTCAACAAAGAAAATTTCTAGTGTGCAAAACTCCACGGAGAAAACCGTACAAGCAACTGCAGCAAATAAAGTCAATAAGGTTGAAGATGATAAGAGCACAATCAAGAAAAAGTCACGTAAAATTCCAGTGCACAGAAAACAACAAACAACCGCCAATAGCAATGGCAAATTATTCGAATCACATGTCAAAAATGAGATTAATTTGAAAAAGTTACGCGGGAAAGTGCTTGGAGGCGCAGACACTGGTACCGAAGCAAACGTTGATACGCTTTCAGTGGAAGGGCATCATATGTCTGTACCAGTACACAACGACCAACAAGTTAAAGAGGGGACTGGAAATATTGAGAAATCTGGAAACCTTGAAGGATCCATTAAGCAAAAAAGAACTGAGAGGAAACAAAGTAAATTCAAAAAGAGAATTAGCAGTTTAAACAGGAGTTCAGAAATCAGCGAGAGTGAAAACGTTGATTCTGAGGAAAAGCAGCAGAAAAAAGTGAAGAGATCTGTCATTAAAATCCCGTTGCAAGAAAATGACAGCTCAGAGGAGGGAGAAAACAACAACAGAACAATCACACCACTAACAGATGACGTGAAGCTAAACAACAAAGCTGATTCTCTCCCAGACTCTGAAGAGCAACTTCAGAATTTGCCGAAACCGGAAGTGACGTCTGAGAAGCAGTCATAAAATGAAGCATTGCGTGTCAAGCAGGTCACGTTAACCCTTCAACTCCCATGAGAGACAGAATTTTTCCTTACAATATCAATTCAATATCAACAAGAAAAGTGATGAGAATAAAGAAAAATATCAATTTGGGGATAATTAGTCGATCCAATACTAAATTCTCTGAACTAACATTATAAGAATTGTGTGGTTAACAGTAAGGAGAATTACAAATTGGATCTGAGAGTTAAAGGGTAAAATGGGCTTAGTGGGAAAAACTAGAAAATAAGAGTAAAGGACAAAGTCACGAACTGGCCATAAAAGGGAAAGAAAAAATGGTAAAGAGTGAAATCAGGTTGAACATGCAAATGAGTTGAATTAAGGAAATTTGTCCCAATATTTTGAAATAATTTGAGGATGAAAATCATTAAATTTCAATGAACAAGTTAATAATAAAGTTAAAGTCTTCACTTGAGTCAAGCTGTCCTGGAAGCCAGAGTTTATCCTGGTTTTCATAGCATGAAGCAACTGGGAGTATTCACTGTGTTCCCTGTTTGGGATGCCAGTCCATTGCTAGGCTACCCCCCAGTATTTCATCAGGCTTCCATGATAATTTGCCAGTACTCATTAATACTCCTCAGTGAAGAGAGGCACTGTGAAAACAAAGTGTTTTTGCATGACAGAATAACCCAGTTAGGTCTTGTACCCAGACCTCCTGACCTGGCATCTAGCTCACTAAGCAGTGGGCCACTGAGTCTCCTAAGTTAATTACAAAAGTTACTAATTAACCCTTTAACCCAAAAGAGTGACTAGCAATCTAGCATTTCTCCTCACAATATCACCACTGAACCACACATTAATGTCATGAGAATGAAGGAAGTGATCACCAACTAAAGAAACTCTTGATTGATAGACAAATTCTCCTTAACAGCATCCTAGTAAATGCACAGTGAACAGTATGGAGAATATGAAAACCCGGTCCCTGTTAAAGATCAAAAGGTTAAGCTTGCATTTGATTGATGAAGTAACTGGCATGAGTTTGGCAGACCAACCAGAGGGCAAAGTGAACCAAACTTTTAATGTAACCCTGGATAAGTTTCATCACTTTATTGAAAAACATTATTTGTTACACATAAGTTAAGGTGACACACATGGTTGAGAAGTCAAATAAAATGGATAAATCTTTGTCCATGCTCATATTGACCTTTACATATACCTCAAACACTTGGAGTGGTTACCTGAGTGCCTGCTGAGTGAGCTGTACAACTTTGTAATTAAGTATTATTGATTGAGTTGATAACATAAATTGGCCTCTGTTTAGAGTTTCAAAGCTGATGTTTCAAGGATTAGCCCTTTGTCATTTTCTCTGACGAAGAGCTTATACTCAAAAGATCTGCTTTGAAACTTTTTACTGTGGATCATTTACTTCATCAACTCAGTTGATAATACTAAATTACTCTGTTTTTCTCTCTCACCAAAGCAGCACAACAGTTTCTTTAGAAACTTACCCCCTTTGTACAACTTTGTGTTAACTTTGAATTTTTTCCAGAAGAGGGGACAAACTAAGTGACAAGTCCTGGCAGATGTAATGAACAATAGGTAACAGCTACAACTTTCCTTCTCAATTTTCCTTTATGAAATTCTGCCCATGTAACATTTTTTTTTTATCTCAGATAAGTCACACATATTCAGCTTGTTTTGAATTCATACAGAATTTAGGGCAAACAACACAGAGCTGAAGATCACTTTCATATTCACAGAGCTGTTCTTTGCAGAGACCTTTCATAACAATTTGTCACTTAGTGTGAGTATACCATTACAGTATGCCAGTCCTGGTGTCTTTTGAGCAATGACAGGGCTCGAAATTAGCACTCGCAAACTCGCGAAATACGAGTGGTTTTTCGAAGTTGCGAGTCTAAAAAATATCCTCTAGCAAACATTTGCGAGTACCGGTATACCACCAACAACAACAAAAAATCTTACTAGCAAAACTTTGCTGGTAGACAAAAAAGTTAAGTTCGAGCCCTGAATGATAGAGTTACTTTGTGACCTTCAAGATTTCTTCTTCATTAAATTAGCCCATGATCTCTGATCATGATCCCCATCCTCATCCTCAAGTTCATATATTGTCTTTGGCTTTTCAGGTTTTAATCGCCTCATTCTTGCTCTTTTCTCTTCCTCTGTCATTTCAGCTGGGTTAATTGGCTGTTTAATTAATTTCAATGGCTTTTCATATCTAATGAAGAAAGATGAACCATCTGGTTGGACCAGCCTGACCTTGTACTTGCGAGAATACACCTTTTTTGGAATTCGGCTAACTGTTGCACTACAGATACTGGAAGAGAAAAAATCAAATCACTGTTTCTACTTATAATTTTCTGATAAATACAGAGTTTAACATGCATGTTAAATTTTCATTCAGCCGATAATTTTTTCGGGGTTTAGCCAGAAACTCAGTTGTCATCTGAAGATATCTCTAAGAAATAAACATAGGAAAAACTTGATTTTTAGCAACATCCACCTACTTCAAAACTTACAGCAGATTTCGGTAAAGTTTCCGTACAGCCCCATACTATTGCAAAACAAATCTGTTTTCCCAATGGAAATGTATTGTTTTTGTCATGGTTTTCTCTATTCAAGAACTGAATGCATAATGTAGTATGGGGCTGAGCGGAAATTTTACCCAGATTTCAAATACATGCAAAATTACATATGGCTTGGAGAAGAGAGTGAGAGAAATAGAATGACTTGGGCAATGATAAAATACCATGATAACGTTCGATTTCTATCGAGTATCGAAAAAAAACGATTAGGTACGTCCCAATTTCAGGAACCGAGCTTTATGTATACGCGACGCATAAATCTCTCATGAGCTCTTTCGTGCCTCTCTACTATTGCGCCCAGGACAAAAAATCTCCAACGAAAGCTTACCTGACTTGTCTTCTCGCAGAAATCAATAAGTTTAGTTTGCTCAACGATGTCGATGACGGTGATGTGGATGAGACATCTTGGAACAAACATTTCCTTAGTAACCGACAAAATTTTGCTCTGTAATACAAACAATAATAAATTAAAGTTAGAAGATATCTTTTAGAAAAAAATCAGTCGATTAGAGGTTAAGATCTTGCTCTAAAATCCGAGAACACTGCGAAAGAGTAGATTTCGCTCACCTTAAGAGCGCCGCCATTATGAATTGAGTTGTAGCGCCGCAGAATTGTAGTACAGTGGGCACGTATTGTGACTAGCAGGGCAATCTCGAGCCCATGGATTATTTGACCCTGTCAGCGGTCGCCAAAGTAATGGCACATTTAGGGACCATTATCGCTACAAGGGGCCAAAATGACTCTGGGCTCGAGATTGCATTTTAGTTTTAGATCCCACGGTCGAGCTAGTTACACCGGAGGATCTGGGTATAACTGGTATGAGATTAAATTTGTGGGTTCTCAATAGTTATAGATCATGTAAATTTAAAACAAAGTTAAAACTTGAATTTATTTTTCATTTTAAATTTTGCAAAAAAAAAACATTTTGAAATCATCAATCTTTTCACCAAAAAATGTTTTCCTTTTTCCGAGGACCAGGACCACTTATACATGACCGGATAATTTTCCCAGAAGGTCGTTATCAGAAGTGAAACAAATATTCTCAAAGAAATATCTAAGCATGCATTAAATCTTAACTTTGAGCTGAGATCTAAGGCTGTTAACCTTGAAACTTCTTTTTCCCCTCCCCCTACCCCCCACCTTTTTTGTTGTTGTTATTGTGGAAAAGCCGCTGTACAATTGTACACTATTATGACCGGCGCGTGATCCGGCGCGTGACATTCACGCGCTCTTAACGACAATCTAATAAGAAAATGAGTCTGCATCTTCCGTCAGAGAGATAACAGAAACCATCCTACCTACATAGATGGTAGCTTCCGAGAGTCTTTGAAAGAGATCGATTCACAGAATGTGTAAAGCGTGGCTTATCTCGTGCTTTATTGTCGTGCAAGTAATAAGTACTGAAGGTGAGATGAGAAACTTGCTCTGCTGTTTACATTTAATTTCTGGTGACCTGAGGGATAAATTTACATGAACAGTGGTTCTGATCAACCTTTCGTGTACATGTTTATAAGGAAAATGTTATCAAATTTTGTTGCTTGGAATTTCAATGTATTCTTAAACCAACCATTAATTGTGGCGTGATTTTCAACTTCCTTGTCGATGGGTTCATGAAGCACAATTCCCTTATAACATGAGGTTGATTCTAACTTACGCGTGCTGATAACAAAGATAAATTTGTGCATGCAGGCTTCTTCTGCCTCAACTCCAAAACAAAAAGAAATTAACGCGCACTTTTTTAAGCAGTCTCCTAAGCAATGCAATTCAAGAAGACCTTTACGGAAAAAGTGACGAGAAATTGCAGTTTCGAAATACAGAAATAATTTCCATATATCTCCAATTATGTCACCGGTGGATGTGATGAAGGCATGCCCTTGTCACTTGCCGAACTTAACATCTTTCACTTTAATCACCGGTGGCAAACACCCAAATATTCTTATCCTGAAGTCCATGACAGGACAAAAACGTACATGTAACAAAATTGTGCATTGACTCTCTAATCTTAGCATTATGTCTCGCGAGATGTTTGCTGGTGAACCATCTAAACCATCCTGAAAAAAAAAGGGGAAAAAAATGTTTCTGTTTTTTTTTTCTTGGGGGGGTTTAACTGGCAAATCGATCTACTCTAGACAATTTGTTCACAGACATTTAATACCTCTTAAATGCAAGACGAGAAAAAAAATCACTCCTCTCTTGTCCTGTGTCTTGTCAGTGCTGCTTTGTCTTTTGAGCTGAATATACCAATACATGTTACTAAGAAAAGATAACAAACTAAACAGCATTGAAAAAGGAAAACTGGGGTCAGGAGGAGTAGGATATATTAGTTCAGGTTGAAAACAAGGGTAGATTTCCATTAGTTATATATCTCTGTCTACAGTTTTGGTTGTAGCTCAGTTAGCAATCAGTTGTTTGAAAGCCAATTAGCACTAATCCAAGGTTAAATTTTTAATTCAAGTTTTGTTATCTCTTTATTCAAGAGTAATTTTCTCTAGTCTTTTTAAAATATCCAATCATCAAATTGCAGACTAAAAGAATTAAAATGAATTTTCTTTGAAAACTTTCAGATATGAAATCAGATCTCACACTAACCCAGTGGGTCATCTTAAGCCAGCTTTGAACAACCTGGTCCTGACATAACAGTCAGGAGCGGCAAAATCATGGGCTGGAATGCTTCATTTACACCTCTATTTTTAATTTGAAGGTATCAAACTGCATCTAAAGTCAAACAAGGACAGAGTTCAAATTAATGAAACTACACATTTTGAGTTTACAGTAACAGAAAGGTAATATTGCTATTGGTTAATACTTCACCTACAGTATTAAACAGTTTCATTGATAATAGTAATATATTTAATTTTATAGGTGATATCGATATGTTATGTTATAATAATTGTTATTTACTTCGTCTAAGACTGAAGACTCTTGGCCAGGGCTCAAACCCAGAAGTTTCAGTCTTGAATGTGGTGCTGAGACTGGCCAAGGCTCAAATCTAGAAGTTTCGATCTTGAATATGTCATACCAGCCATTGATCAGGCCACTAAATTAGTCTGTAATTCTTAAAAGTAGTATGATTGTCTCCCTATGTGTCAAAATGGAGATTCCCTTGATTGGTATTCCTAAGAATCTTCCATGATTCCTCCATCCATTTACCATGTACCTTCTCCTTTTCAAGTGATTGTCAAGGAAGGCATGCAATGTAAATTAAATGTTTACAACTTGTCAAATGGCTTGTTTACCTCATGGGATGCTTTCAAAACTGTGTTTTCTCCTTTCCTTAACAGTGGTAAAGCATCGTCAAATGTTACCATAGTGGTAATCATAAATAATACCAAGCCAGAAATAATTAAGGTGCCCAAAAAGGTGAGCTTACAAGGTAGCTTTTCCAAACACATCACAGACTAACTCTGTTTAACCCTTTCACTGCTAAGATCTCATTAGTAATTCTCCTTACCGTTTGCCATACAATTCATTGGATGTTAGTTTTGAGAATTTGGTTTTGGATCAACTAATAATCCTCTCATAGAGCTTTGATCTCATCACTTGTTTGCTTGATATTGTATTGATATTGTAGGGAGGAATTATATCTTGCATGGTCACCCAAGGGAATAGTCCATTTTATAGTTGCATGCTTGGTAGTAAGCAGTATTCTTAACAATTACCCAACATTTGAACCATTGATAACAATTATACAATTGTGAAACACGATTAATTATATATATACCAGATATCCTGGTGTGGGTTAATTTCTTGCAGATGTCAAGAAATGGAAGGATGGGAGGCGGGGGGCGGGGGGAGCTTTATACAATGAGATTACATGTACACAACTGAATGAACTAAATTTTAATCCTATTATTTCCAAAGGTTCGTGTGCACTCATTAGACAAAAAGCATTCAGTAGCCATTAAAGGGATTGGAATTGGAAAAGCTACTATTTTATGTCATGTGCAAAATGAGACCAATCGAGACAGCCATTTTAGGTATGTTGACTATCTGCGTCAAATAAATGGTGACATTCATTCTTTTTAAATTTCCCTTTGTTCAGATAGATGAACTGTTGAAATTAATTGCATGTTTTGAATTTCTTTCTTGATTTTAGTTTGGATATGAGAGTAGTGCACTCCATGCCTCTGTATATAATCAACCAAGTGATTGGCTGGTTGTATTTTGTGGCATGGTCCATTTCATTTTACCCTCAGGTATTGAAGATTGCAATATTATATCATAAAGTTATTGGTTAGGACTTCAATTATTTATAATGGATAACTGGCGGGTCTTAGTTTAAAGAAACCTTTTGAATTTGTAATAAAACTGTTGTTTGAAAGTCTAGGCTTGGAAAGATATTTGTCTGGAAAGTGTAGAACAGAAATACATATGTATGCTCTGGCCAATTATTCCTGAAAGAATTATTGCTTTTTTGCAGGCTTTTCTCAACTGGAAGAGGAAAAGGTAACTTTTATATATAGCCATATATCCCTTTCACTTCCAAGATCTTGCAAGCAATTCTTTTTATACTGTCTACCATATATTTCTTCTAGTATTAATTCTGAGGAATTATTGTTGGATCAATAAAATTTAATATTCCCATAGTTGATATTCTTCTTTCTTCTTTTCACAAATTGTCTGCTTGATAATGAATTGATATTGTAAGGAGAAATGATGTCCAAGTCCTTTTTAAGATTATTATCATGGAGCAATCAAGATCACAGATAAAGAAAACTTTCCCAGTTCCCAGGAAGTAGCATGAAAAGGGCATATCCCTTTGTGATTCCTCATAAATAGAAAAAAATCAAATCTTCCTTCTACTTTTACAAGTTATCAGAAATGTTTGGTAAGGCAAAAGTGTTGAACTCTCTTTTGGTTATATTTCCAGCTGAGCTTTTTAATTGACTTTTTTAAATCTTTAAACTCCCGTGATTGATGGCTAGACAGAATTTCTCCTTACAACATCAATCCATTTATTGAGCTCACAAGGAATGAAAGTAAAGAAAAATATCAATTATGGGACTATTAACTAATATTGAAATTGTATCGCAGAGAGTAAATTTCTAATTGTCTATAGTGAAAGTGAGACTAGGATTAAATTTCTGGAACAAGTTATGAGACAGTGAAATGGGTGTAACAAGAATTAGGAAGGAATGGCCTGTTTGAGTTGTAGAATCGACTTTGGACCAAAAAAAAAAATGTTTGGTAATGTAATGTAATGTTAATTTTTTTCAGTGTGATAGGTCTCAATTTTGACTTCTTGGCCTACAACCTCACAGGATTTGTAGCCTATGGTTTATTTAACATAGGCATGTTTTGGGTGCATGAGGTTCAGGTTAGTACAGAATGGTTTGGTTTGTTTGAATTGGGGGTAGGGGGGTTGGATGGAGCAGGTATAGACAAGAAACTATATAACATAAAGATGTCAAAACCTTTTAAAAAACTAGCGTGGGAAACAATCAGTTTCATTGTTGTGGGGAGCACAGATTTTTAGAGAGAATTAAGTATTGAAGTCTTGATAATTGTCAGTCACAAGATATCTAACATTATAAGGTAATTAAGGACCTGTTTCTGTGGAAGTGGGGAACCCCAGGTAGGTGAGGTAACCCACTTCACTGTGGTCCAAAGCTAGCCCACGTCTACATAATTATAATCTTTCAACCCCAGAATTCCCTGCAACCCCGCCCAGGCAGGTTACCCCATCTTGAGATGTTTACATGGCAAATTATCTCCCTGGCTGATAGGGTTACCTTACCCAACAAACAGAGCAACTCTCCAAGGCAGATTACCACACATATCATGTAAACGTGTATGAACAAGCTAAAATATTGGACAGGTGGGTTACCCCACCTAGGCATGCACAGGTTACCTCACCTACCTGGGATCCCTTACCTCCACCTGAACAAACCCTGAAAGTTTGATGCTATTGGTATAAGTAACAACATGATTGCAAGACAATAGTGCAATTAGTTGTTAACAAGAAATTAAGACAAAATGAAATTTTGACAGCCTATGCAAGCTATTTGCGTTACAACTTTGCTCCAGTGTTAAATGAAAAATGAGGAAAGCCGAAGAAATTCTTTCAAATTTAATTGGCAGGGATAATAAAAAAGTATTGAAATTATAATTTCTCATCCTTGTCCCCCTTAGGAAAGATGATATTTACTCTGTTAAATCTCTCTATTTTTCAGCGTGAATATTTTGCAAAGCACCCTGGAGGAGTCAACCCAGTTCAACCCAATGATGTATTTTTTACTCTCCATGCCATTCTTCTTACTACTATAACAATTTTTCAGTGTTTCTGTTATGAGGTAAGTATTTTGAACTCTTAATTATTGCTTAATTTTTGCTGTTCCAAAAGGGGTAATAGTGAACAATGGTTCCCATTTTCGGCTGTCAGTCAACTGTCGGCCAACACGTTACTGACACATTGCCAACACACTACCAACAGCTGGGTGACAGTCGGCCAACAATATCTTTCAGGAACTGTTCTTCTCTTTTACCCCAAAAGGCACAATCCATGATACAGTTGCTTTGACCCCTTAACACCCAATTGACTGCGACCAAGACAGAATCTCTCCTTAGAATTGATCCATACAGCATCAAGAAGACAAGTGATAAGAAGGAAGAAAAATATCAATAAAGGGATTGTTGTTTGATCCAAAACCAAATTCTCCAAATTAATACCATAAGTTTGTATACCAGACAGTAAGGAGAATTATCTTGAGAATGAAAAGGGTTAAAGGTCCTTGTTCATACTGTTTGTGACTTAACCCAAGGAGCACAACTGAGTGGGATTCTGATAATTTGTAATATTTTGCTAACAAACTCTTGCTTAATATGCATTAACATGATTATATTAACTTTCTTGATATTTGTGTTTTATTTATCTTTCAGCGTGGAAATCAGAAAGTGTCTCTGTTATCTAAGATCCTACTAAGTGGTACATGGCTGTTTGCAGCGGTGGCATTGGTGGTGACAATTTGCCATAAAATTACATGGCTCACTTATCTATATTATTTCTCATATATCAAAATTGGGGTAACTCTCATCAAGTACATTCCACAGGTAAATACAGAATACAAGAAAGATTTAAGCAAATGTGATTTTTCTTTTTTTTTTTTTTTTTTTTCTTGGCATGCCAGTATTTCCTTAATTTGTTCATACAAATATAACTATGTCAAAATGCTAACTAAAAAGATAAATAGTTCATCTTGGTCCATAAAACTGCCTTAAAAAGAACTTGGCCTGAGTTTTTACTGGGCCACTGTGTTGTGTTCTTAGGCTAAGACACTGTTCTCATGCACATGCCTTCCCCTCCCCACCCTAGGTTATAAATGGGTTGTAGCGAACTGTGGCAATATGAGAGGGGAAGGGTGGTAACTTATTATGCCAGACTGGAATTTCATCCAAGGGTAGCTAGCAGCAACTATAACTCTTGGATGCCTTATGTTTGATTTATTTGGGATAAATTTAGGGGGTGAGGTAAGCTTTTAACAAAATTGTAAGTTAAGCTGCTTCAGTTAGGGGTAGATTTTATGGGTGTTGTTAGTATAGGTGATTTCTCTCACAATGTAGTGTTACTAGCGCAAGTAAATTTTTCACAGACAACAAAATTGCATGATCAACCTGTCTTTGAAAAATTTGCAACTACTTATTACATCAAATTGCAAGAGAAACCACTTCATTTCTTATTAATAAATTTACATGAGAAAACATAACAGAAATTCAAGACAGATGAAATTTTGAAAGTGTTTACGTGTACATGCTATTTGTAATTATTTGTACTTGTGCATATGCTATAACTTTGCACTTGTATGACATGAAAATTCACTCGTTTTCAGCCAATTAGACTCTTGTAAATTTGTTTCATGTACATTATTATGAAAATCATCATGAGTGAAAACAAACACCTAGTTATATACTATAGGTATCTGGTACTAGACCTTAACATTTCTCATGATTGTTACAACCCAAATGTCTACTCTTTCCTAACAGGCATGGATGAACTATAGACGTCAGAGTACTGTTGGATGGAGTATCGGTAACATTCTCCTAGATTTTACTGGAGGATCCTTGAGTATTCTACAGATGTTCCTTTTAGCTTACAATAATGGTAAGTGCATGCATCATGACATTTCTTACATTGCTACCAGTACTTTGCATGTTGTGGAAATCACTTCTTTTGTGCCCTTCCACCAAAAAATTCCTCGCCCCTTTCTCCTTGCCACAATATATTCCTACCCCATTTTAATGCAGTATTTCCTTTCCAGTGTGCCACTAAATATTCCTTCCAAATTCTGCCAGGTAGAACATGGAAAAGACATAGAGTTTGATTTTTATATGATTATATAAAATGTCTAACAATTTAAAAATTCTAATTATGATTGCTCCAGTGATTGTATGTATGAGTGTGCTCTGATTGGTGGAGGACTGCTTCATATCCCACTATTATCACTTTGCATGAGGTGATTATAGCAGGGGTGCTAAATTTCAAAATTGCTGCCTTGGCATACACCTTAGGCAAAGTGAATATTGTTGAATAATAGTTGTCATAAATAGTTGAATTACATGTATTTAACAATATTCACTTTGCAAATAATTGTTATACAATGTCTCTAGTTTATTGGAAATTATTTTCACCTTTCAAAATAGGAAAATCCACAAAGCTTATAAAGATATATGTTTGTCACTATAATGCTTGACCAACATCTTATGCTATTACCACATTCTTATTGCTGTTGTATTTTTGGTTTTTTTATTCCTTTACACACTGATATCAGTTTGCATATTCTCCACACTGTACTCTAATATTTACTGGGGTGTTGACAAGGAGAACTGGTTAACAATCAAGAGCTTCTTTAGTTGCATGGTGATTATTTCCTTTATTCTTGTGACCTGAATGTCTGATTTAGGGGTGGTATTGTAAGGAGAAATTAGATGCTGGTTTAAGTCTTAGGGGTCAAAGGGTTAAGTTCCCCTATAATAGGATGAAAACAATCTCCTTGAAATGGCAGCAGGGGAGGCCATGTGAAAACAAAGTAAGCAAGAGGAACTATAAACATCTAAATTCTCCTTACAATATTATCCCTGAATGACACATTTAGGACACAAGAATAAAAGAAATGATCATCAACCAGTGAAGCTCTTCATTGTTAAAACTATTTCTCCCTAGCAAATGTATAGAGAAAGGCATGGACAATAAATGTATACTGATGCTATAGGGTTACTGCATGTCAAGCTCCATGTGTTACTCTTCTGATATACTGCATGTGTTACTTCCCAGAAGTCGTTTACAAGTAACTTCTCCCAACAATATCCATGCATTATCTAGTAAACAGGTAATGAGAATGCTCAAATGTATCAGGTAGAAGTTGTTGTCTTGATCTAACACCAAATTCTCATAAGTTATTTACAAGGAATGTGTAACAACTAGAGGGGAGAATTAACAATCAGACCTTGGAAGTTAAATGGTTAACTACCTTCCTTCCTCAAGTCTAAGAAGTGATTTCGATCAAGAAATTTTCATATTATTTTGCAGATGATTGGAAGTCTATATTTGGTGACTTTACCAAGTTTGGTTTGGGAGCCATCTCAATTCTATTTGATGTGTTTTTCATGGTTCAACACTATTGTCTTTATGGATCAAAGCATCAGAGATATGAAGTAATTGTTGAAAGCAGAGATCCTAAGGAACACAGTGACAAAGCACTGAACTCTTATGGAGCAGTTCATCCATAGCTTATTTGTTATTAGTTTCCCACATGATTGGATAGGTGTATACTAGGCAGCTTTTTGCACACTTGATTCTAAAGCAGAATCAGTCTTTATTTTGGTACAGTCTCTGTTCAAGGGACATGAACTGTGAACTGAAAAAAGCTTTCGCCAGCTACTTTTAATAAAGGGGCATTGTTGTTCAGGAATAATTGTTCATGAGATAATTTCTCAGGGAAGTTGGCTAACATTCATAAGCCTCTTTGGTAAAGTCTTACATATAATGAAATTCATTTCAAATTGTATTCATATGACATATCATTCAATCTCATGTCAGTCAAAAAGTGAATACAAAAATAAAGAAAAATATGTATGCATGCATTACTATTTAAATAAACGAGGAGGATAATTTTTTACAACATTTCTCCTCAAGGGATGTCATGCAGTGATCATATGTGTTTTATTTATGTCCAAAATATTTTTCAGCTTAGAAATAATTTATCAAGAGCTCAATAAGAAAAATGTTAAAGCAATGACATGGATTATTACAGTTCTAATTATTTTTTTAACTACCAGTGTTTAACTTTCAATTATCAGTTGAGAAGATATATATATAATACTTTAACTCCAAACAGTTTTTGATCGCATTTCCATGCTTCTCAAATGTTTGCTAGGTTTGAGTGCATCCATGTAATCAAATGCAGATTATGGTGTTTAATATATTGTTACATTTTAATTGTAACTATATAATCAAAATGGAATGTGGGAATAAAAAGGGATTCTTTTTAAATGAATATTCAAGAAGAAAATCTTTTTTGTGTTAGTTTAGCTAGTCAGTTCTGAGTAATGGCAGGCATCTGAAGGTTAATTAACTCCTATGGCCAAACAGCTCTTCACAGTCAGTGCCTTTCCCTGGTTTCTGTGGCTCTAAGCAATAAGGAATGCACCCTGCCTTAATTACCACCAACTCAGTGAGGTGTTCACCTCAGTAATATGGTCACCTTGCAATTGTGTCCACTTTTTTATGGGCCATGAAAACAGCCTTAAAACACCCTTGTTAATGTAGTCATCTGTTATGACCACATTTTAAAATCCCAGAGTAGATTCTTTACAATTTCAGCCCAATGATAAAAAAACTAGCATTAGAATTAGAGGACCAAAATACCTTCGAAATGTTGATCTCATTAGTCTCTGTCATTTACTGAGCAAAAAGCCGATTTACTCACAAGGAAGCAAATTTCCTTCCTGTTTCCATTACAAACATGGCAAAGGAAATAAATCTTGATGCCGAAAATCCACCAATACAACTTGCAAAGAGATTAAGAAATTTGATCTTGGCCCAGTATTAAAGTCACCCTGTTAATGCAGCAATTTTTATGTCCCAATGGTGATAAGATTAGCACGATTCAACTGCACTCTTTAACAATTGAATGCCAATCCACTCCTGGGAACCTCCCAATCCAGATAGTTTGGGGTCCAATGTAAAAAGTAAACAAAGCTAGTGAAGCGAGTTTGAATCACACTTTAATGTCACATGATCATGGTCCATATTTGGGCAGAACAGGTTTTACCCCTCCAGTTAGTTCTAGGGGTCTCTGAGACAGCATATACAACTTCATTACTCATCTCTGGACTGAAAGCCTAGAACAGGCTATGTTTATCAAAGCTACAACTTTTAGAATCTAATTAGAAGTGTTCTGTCCAATTAAGATCAGAGTACCCTAACCTGCCACCAAGCCTCCAATGTTTGAGTAGGTTTTTCTACCCAAGAGGTTGTTCAAGTCAGCCAGCCATAGCTAGCAAGATGGCTCTCATTGGCAGTACAGAACAAGCGGTTTTTCCACAGGATAGTTCAAGTTGGAAGCAAAGTGAGCAGGAGCTGAGTCTGACAGATCCCAGCCCTCTTGCCAACTCACTCTATTTGCAACTCAAATTATCCTATGGGCAAAACCATTTATGAATTAACATCATTGAGAGCATACTCTCAAACTAAGGGTGCCTGAGCTGACACAGTTATCTGGTTTATATCAGGAAGCATGTAAAAGGATATCCTGGAAGACAGGACCTGGGGTTGAAGACTTTCATTGGTAGCACACACCCACCTAACCCTCACTTCAGGGCATCAAATCTGTATTAAATTTGTATAATAAGCTAATTGCTGACACATTTTCATTGATTCTAATTATTGATCAGTTGAAGGATGGTTGCATAGATTATGTCACCTCTAACAACATTTTGCTACTTTATAACAATTAGTTCCCAAGTTGTTGCGGGTTGGTTTCAGTATTATAGATCAGAGAAAACATCAAAATTTTGGTAAGAACATGAGTGACACACTTGCCTACACTTTCCACACCAATTTTTTTGTAGTGATCACATTTTAATGTTCTCTGTGATCAATTGATGAACATATAAAAGGTAACATGGAATCTATTGATTAAACTGACAGCACAACACATATCAGCAAAACATAAGTATTGAACATTTACCCAGAGGTTTACGAAAGTAATGTTTTCCAAAGACTAAAATTTTTAAGTCGGAAAACTGACTTGGATGAAAGAGAAAACAAAAATTGGTGTTTGTACCTCAAAACAGATGTTTATTTCATTTTACTTCGCACATTTCTCCTGCAGCCATTTTAAAATTTCAGTTAAGCCTGCCCCTTCGCGAAAGCTGCACTCCAGAACTGTAATGTCTTGCCTAGCGCTTGCCGATATCTCCCTAAGTCTTAATAGAGCACTTATTTCGCTCATACTCAGGCGGTCTGGTGAATCAATCTTGTTAAAAATCAGAAGAACAGACATGTGTTGGGTCTGCTTCGAGGCGAGCACTTCAAGAAGTTGAATACATGAAGACGCAACCTGGGTCTGATTTGCCGTGTCTATGATGTACACTAAATAAGTTGCGTCTTTAAAATAATTATTCCAAATTGGCCCCATTGCTCCTCCGAGTTCCCTGAAGGTATATTTCTTTCTGTTGTATGTTACAGTAACCAAATTCACTCCAATCGTGGGAATTGTCGAAGGTGCTTCGCCAAGATCTTGCTTGTGAAGTGCTTGCGCTAAATTCTGCTGGGCAGTCAACGTTTGAAGCCTTTTTAGCATAACAGTTTTTCCAACACCTTCTGAGCCCAGAACTAACAGCTGTGCTTCGGCCATCGCCAAAAGAAAACTACCTTGTCTCCTGGAAGAAACAAAATGGCCGAAGCTATATTCGGATACGCTCGTGGTGTATCGTAGTTTTCCGGACTTTTCGGAAAATTCCGAATATTTCCGAGTAGCACATGACTATTTTGATCACCATTTGCAACATGGCGGACGATATTGACACCTTCAATCCTTTTGAGAACGAAAAACATGATGATGGTCCCAGAGAAGAACAAGCTGTTTTACCAGATGTAAGCCCGAAGACTTAACTTGTGTTATTTTACTAGCACAATCAAAAAATGTTTTATTGTTTTGGGTCATTTTTGCCACGTAAACCCGTTAATCGTGGATTTTGGCTTTTTATTACGTTTAACCATATCGTGATCTTTCATCAAAAGGTCATCATGAAATTTACTCAACTCTTCTATCTTTTTGTACTCAAAGCGTCAGGCAAGATTCGTGCATGCGACGCTAGTTTCTGCTCCTTTTGTTCAATTAAAGCCCAACAATATACTTCGCATAATGGTGTTCAACTTGGAATAATTTAATACATTGAGCATTTAATTTGAAATAATTCGGTGTGGTATAAAGTTTGTGTCCAGACATGTGACGGAGTTTTTGTTTGAACTTCGCTTTGATTTGGGTTTGTATTCTATGTACAATTTAACCATTTAACCTCAAATTCTCTCAAGTGGAGAAATTGCGTTGCTGTTTATTTGAGGTTGAGTGCCTAGGCAGATAAATAAAGCATCTGTACCAATTTGTATTGAGAACACAATTTATTGCTTATTTTATTTTCATGATCTTTTTTTAGAGTCCTGGAGGAGAAGATCACTTAGAACATTCCATTTACTTAGACACTTCTTCAGCAGATAAAAATACACCTTTCCTGGAGTCTTTTAAGATTGGAGGTTATGATGATGTAGGCCAAGTGAAGGATTTAAACGTGACAGTTGATGATCCAGAAAAACATGTGGGTGGCTATGTCAGTTATAGTGTTACAACAAAGGTTGGTATCTACATATTTTGTGTGTAATAGTAGAGGAACAGATTGCAAAGGCTAACTTTTGTTTTTAGGAATAACAACATTGACTGAGCTGAGGGAAGTTAACGTTTCCACTCCCAAGATTTTATCAGTAATCCTCCTAGCTGTCTGTTTTAAAAATTTCATGAAGTTAGTAGGGAGAATTGGGGGTAAAATTTCCGCATAGTCCCATCCTATTGTAAAACAAATCTGTTTTCCCAATGGCAATGTATTGTTTTTGTCATTGTTTTCTCTGTCCAAGAACTGAATGCATAATGTAGTATGGGGCTGTGCGGAAATTTTACCGAATTGGGTATTGGAGCAACTGATAATCCCCTTATTGATATCATTTTTTTCTCATCACTTGTTTACTTGATATTGTAATCATATCATTAGGAAAAATTCTGTCTCATCGCATTAGAGTAGAATACTATTTGGGCCATTGAAAGTTAAGCTTACAGTTCTGCAAGGTAGCCAGAGAATCCACTTTCTCTAATACCTAGGCTACTGAACACAAGTCAAGATCCTTAAAATCCTTTACTTTTTTTTCAACACAGACTACAAGGGGACAGTTTGATCACCCAGAATACAGTGTTAGAAGAAGATATCAAGACTTCTTGTGGCTGAGACACAGATTAGAAGAGAGTTACCCTACACACATCATCCCTGTAAGTGTATCATCCCCTTAACCCTTAAACTCCCTGATCAATTTGCCATTCTCCTTACTGTCAACCATACAATTTTTGCAATGTTAGTTCAGAGAATTAAGTATTGGATCAACTTATTATCCCCAAATTGATATTTTTCTTTATTCTCATCACTTATCTTATGGCTGTTGTGTTGATATTTTGCAAGGAGAAATTCTGTCTTGATCACTCATGGGAGTTGAAGGGTTAAATCACAATCCAGAAAGTTTCATAGCCTGTAGGCAGGCCTTCATTATTAGCATTCTGACACAAACATTTATTTGGGAGGGAGGGCCTGGGCAATGCAAGCCTGTAAGAGGTCTGGCAAATGTCCTCCAACTTGTCTCAAATCTTCCCGCACACATAGGAACGCATTTATTTTACTTGTTGGGACCACAATCTTGCTTGTTGGAAAAACCTGACTACAACAATTACAGGGTAAGAAGAGGGAGTCACTTGGAAATTAATGGCCACACTTCGTGTGTGCAATCAATGCAACTGTAATTAACTCAAAATTATGTTTGTTTTACTTTCTGCATGCAAAATTTAATTTTTTATGGGCACCAAAGTTATTACACATGGAAAAACAGTTATATGTCCAAAGTCAGGTAAAAGGAGAATTTATTGCCACATTGTTTTGGTGCCCGATCAGACAAGTAAGGTCATTTGTAGTCCAATCACTGGACGAGACATTTAGACAGCCCAAAATTCCTTCCCTGATTGTTGAACAGAACTTTGGCTTTTTGTCTGTGGTCTGTATTCTCAATTATTTTAAAATTATTGCATTTGTGTTGAAAAGGAGATCTTTTCCTACTTTATTGTTACAAGCAGAATCAGAGGGAAAATTTTTCTGTTTATCTTTACAGTGATAACCTGTCACTAACTGCAATCTTATTGTGATTTATTATCCTTCCAGCCACTCCCAGAGAAGCATTCATTTACAAAGCACTTTGATCGATTTGCACCTGAATTTTTGAAATCACGACAAATAGCACTCAACAAGTTTGTTAGTAGGATTGCAGATCACCCTGTGATGTCTTTTAATGACAACTTCCATGTCTTCCTTACAGCTAAAACATGGGTAAGTGTTCTTAATTCTCTACCTACCTTGATCTGTTTGTAGTTCTCCCCTTTTCATTTCCCCACGAAGTGGTTGAGAGATTTGGTTATTGTGTCAATTAAGGTAACACTCCCTAGCAGACAAATTGTTAACATTATTTTTCTGGCTGATTCAGTATAACTGCTGCTCTGCCATGCACTGTTTTTTTTTTAAGAAGAAAAAAAAGAAAATCAACCAATCTGCTTTCTGCTAGATGATAGTTCTGTGGCATGACAAGTTTCCAGGTTCATATGAAACAATTTTTTCTTACTATACGTTTATTGATAAAGGCCATGGGAGCTTAAAATGTCAGGAGAATTGTACTATTGATATTATCTGCACTATAACCTATGCGGAATGTTAGGATAACACTCGAAAAGTTGGTAAATCACAACCTGTAGGTGGCAAACCCATAGAGAGTGCTGTCAATTGCTTTTATTAAATAACTATTGGTTTACTGGTGCAATAAATGATAGTTTATTGACCAATCAGGGTGCTCATAGTTTCTCAGTTATTTTATAAAGCTTTATAGTGAATTTTTACTTCTTTTCTTGTTGTAAATTTAGGAACTAACATCCGTCAAGAAACAGGGTCCAGGTTTGATGAGCAGAATGAGTGATTCCATGAAGAACATGGCATCTTCGTGGATGTTGAAAAGTAGAGAGCCTGAATTTCAAGAAATGGCAGATTATACAAAGGCTTTTAGAGAAAAGATGCTGGCTGTAGAGGCTGCTTCTGACAAGATTGCTAAGGATAGATTTGGTAAGATACCAGTGCTTGTTGATTAGAGTTCAAAGTTTCTCTCAGAGAATTAAGGTTGCAATGCTAGGCAACAAATTTTGGCAATGCAACATAGGGGCCAGCAGCAGGAATAACTCAAGAAATGTGAGGTGTAGACATTTTGAGAAAATCTCCTGGTGTTGAATTATCTCTTACTTTTTCGTAGTAGTATCAAAACACCAAGATACTATCCTCTTACATCCTAACCCTTTGACCTCAAAAAGTGACCAGCATTTTATTTCTCCTTACTGTAACACTGCTGATCATTCATTATGATCATGAGAATAAAGGTTGCTAAATGATTGCCAACCTAAGGAGCTATGATTGCTAAACAAATTCTCCATGTTATCACCAAAGGAAATGTATAGAGAAGAGTATGGAGAATGTGGACACTGATGTCAGGGTGTTAACCCATTAACTCCCAAGACTTGATTGTTAATTCTCTCCTTTAGCTGCTACACATTTCCTTGTAAATTGGTTATGAGAATTTGGTGTTCAATCAGGATAATATTGTGTACCTGATAAGTTTGAGTATTCTCACTACCTGTTTGTGTGATAATGTATTGATATTGTAGGGAGAAGTCACATGTTAATCACTTCTGGGAGTTAAAGGGTTTTAAGGGTTAAACATGTTCTGATGACAAATCTGTGATGTAATTTACAGATCTTCTAGAAATGTACAAAGAGTACATACCAATCTTCAATCTGTGGGCAGATGCTGAACATAAGTTAACTGATCCTTTACATGCCATGGCAAGTGCTTTTGACAAGAATAGCTCTGCTCTGATAACACTGGTGAGGTTTGCTTGTAAGGTGACAGATGTTTGTCTAGGGTAAAGCAGATAAGTTTCTTAAGAAAACTGTGGTACTGCATCAGTAGTTTAGTATTTTGGTATTATCAGCTGAGTTGATAGTGTAAATAGGCTGCCATTGAGAGTTTCAAAAGCTGACATTTTAAGGGTTAGCCCTACATCAGAACGAATCAATTTAGGGTACACAAGGTGAAGTGTGGTTTTGGTATTCCCAAACACAGAAAAATAAATAATTTTAGGCAGCTTTACACATACCACAAAAACACTTTTCTAAAACCCCATTGCTTAAACTTTTACTTATTTGTGAAGGAAAATTTCACTCCACTTTTATCCCTCTCCAGCCTCTGTCTGTTTTAAAGTAACTATCAGCAGATAAAGATACTTTTTCATTACACCAATTTATGGATCAATGTCAGTATCTGAGCAACTGCACTCCTACCCCTCCCCTAACCCAACATTAGCCCAAACTTGGTTGACTGTTTTTGGGTTAGTGGAGGGGTAGGGGTGCAGTTGCTCAGATACTGACATTGATCTTAATTTACTTAGCTCTATACCATTGTAGCAACATGAAAAAGCTAAGGGTGGTTTACAGGTATTCCTTAAAATTTAAAATAGATAACGACAGAAACACAGGTGGGGTATAACTCTTCCTTTCCTGTTTTAAACTGGTATTTTGTTTTTGCTCAGCTAAAAGCTCAAGACTCCAGATTTATGGAACCTATACATGAATATGTGCTCTACACAGATGCCATCAAGGTAAGCTGGTGAAAACCATTTACAACAGACAAAATCCTTTCAGCATCACTGCTGGGCACTCACTGTGAAATATTGACTCCATACAGAGCACCCTTAAACACCGTGATACCATTCACATGGAATATGAAGTAACTTTAGAAGAGCTGTCAAGGAAAAAAGCTGAAAAAGAAGAGGTATGTTGTATTTTGAAACTCTTTTACCCCTAGAACTTCCAGCACAGATTGACATGTAATTTCTCCTTACGTTATCAATACGTTGTCCATCGAACAGGTAATGAGAGTAGCCAAGTTGATCAGCAAGAGGTTTCACGTTGATACAGTAATGAATTCTCTTCACTAATTGAGAACAAAATTATTGCATTTACAGGGAGAATTACAAATCAGATCTTACATGTATGAGTAAAACAGTTAAGTTGGCAGGCGATCTGTGTTACTAAAAATCACCTGTACAGACGACGGACATCAGCGATCGATTTGGCAGATACTATGAAACAATTTGACTCAAACACTTTTGTGTTAATGAAAGAAACTTCAACTTTTCAGCTTGATAAAGGAACTGGCGGTGGACGTAGTTTTGGCTTCTTTAGTAAAGATCCAGAGCAGGCGAAACAAGACAAACGAGAAAGAGTGGACTCTAATATAGAAGAGGTCAGTGAATCAGAGAATGTCATTTTGGTGTAACAGCCAATCAAAACCTGCTAAGTTACCCACAATTCACAACTCTTCAGCTTCATTTAAACGTTCGTTACTTCTATTATGCAATTAAACTCTAGATCTGCTTGACGTTGACGACACTGGAACCTAGGGAACAATTTAGTCCCCAAGTGCAATCTAGCGAGGACTCTCCTATGCCTGTTTGTTTTGTTCCTTTTTTTATTCTTCTCGTTTGAGTAGCTTTAGTTATTAACATTTATTAACAAAGGGGTCCACTGCAATTGGTCGGGCTGTCGTGGTCTCCCTACCCAATAATTTTTATACATATAAGTGTTGTATTCTAGATAGGAAAAGCTGAATAAATAAGTTAATTATTCATGCATGAAAAAATACACCGCTTAATTAGGAAAAAAAAGTTAAAATACCGTTTTATATATATCTACCTCCGAGAAATCAGAAGTATTGATTGGTATTTCCTAGTGCCGCGGTGTGACAATAACTTTTGCATGAAGTGTGAATAAGATGTCTACTGAATGTGCGTGGAAAGCGAAGTCGCTTTGAGAATCCTCTTTGTAAGTCGCACATCCACTTTGGCCGCGAAAGTTTTGGTCTTAAGCCGCATATCAAATGTACATCGCATATCAATTTTTGCCTATCGTTATGGCGACATCTTCTGGTGAGAAGAGGGCTTTGTTTTGCATTTTCTCTTTTTTGTCGTAAATCGGCGTTCAAGTATAATCTGTGATAAGCGCGCCAGTCAAAGTGCACAAACACCCCTCAGGTTTAGCCACTATTTTTGTTGACTCAGAATTTTGTTTCTGTCAGCTTTCAAAACTCGCCGAGCAGGGAAGTGATCGACTCGAGTGTGCTAATGTTGATCTAAAGGCGGACATTGAACGGTGGAACAAGAACAAGAGAACAGACTTTAGAGAACTATTCGCGGAGTATTCAGAGAGACATATTACTTATTACCAAGAGGTAGGTGGCTATCCTCTAATTCATCGGATCAGAAAGGCTCGCGTATCGTCTTAGTCTGGATATAGGGTTCAGAGATGAGCTAAGGATAGAAGAGAAACACAGCGGTCAAATGTGTCAGCGGATGAAGGAGCGTTGTAGAAGCTAGGTGGCGCTGTGTTTAGACAGATCGTCATTTCGTAGCATCGAAAAATTGAGCGAAATGTGACAGTCAGGTGGTTGACGCGCTGAATTCGAGGTCGAAATGTTCGAATTTGGGAATAGCAAATCTCCAATAGCAAGGTAAGGGCATGGTAAGAGTGTGGGGGATGGGACCTAGGTGCCTGTAACGTCTCTTATGAAAAAACAGAAAAACAAGAAAACGAAAAAAAGTGCGGTCTTCCGTGGGAATTTTCTCCTGCCATTTACCTTGCCTGTTTGTAGCTTGCAAGTGGTACAGCACATTTGAAAACCTGCTTGATTAAAACTGGATCTTATTGTACAAAGCGCTAGGAGTCAGTCCAGGGACATGACCTTCGAGTAGTAGTAGCCATAAAATGAAATTAAACTTCGTCTATTTTCTATTTAGTGCTTGGCTGCTTGGCAGGAGGCCTTACAAATTGTGACTGGGAGTCAGCAAGACCAAGATTTGGAAGAGTCTTAAGAATTTCTAAGTGAATCAGAGGAAAATGGAAAATGAATTTAGCTATGGGAAATGATTGGACGATCACCGTAGTTGGATTAGAGAGTGCTTGAACCACTTCAGGTCATATGCGCAGAAGATTGCCTCCATCGATCTTTCCGTTCTGATTCAAATATTCAGTGCTATAGGTAGAATTGTTTTTTTAAAGAGTAATATTGAGACAAATGTTTTCCTTGATAAATGATTTAATATTGAATTCAATTCATTTTGTAGGTCGTGTGTATGTTAGGCTTAAAAAAACAACTATTCGTTTTCTTTCGTTTTAGGTTGAAGCGAAATTCAAATGAAAAATATTATATAATTTACAGGACTTGAGTAAGAAATGATTAAAATGAATTACTATCGAAGGTCAACTCAGTGTGTACTATTTTGAACGACGACTGTCCAACGTTTACAAAATGAACCCATGAAGTTTGAAAAGACTCCATTTAACAAACATATTTCATGGTGCCATGTGTCTGTTCAGTGATACGTCACAAATGACGTCAAAATTTGGTAAGAATTAAAATGTGGCGCGCGAGGCGCAGTCTAGTGTGTCACTGATATTATTACCGCATTTTAACGTCTTCTGAGGTCTGTTACTGTACATGGAATCTATTTGCTTTATATAGTAAAGAAGCAAAAAAATTTAAATGGTAGCATCATCTGTGCGTCTTTCCTCCAATAGATTGCAAGAATTAATTGAAATGCGTACGTTATTCAGCCTATTGTATAAACTAGAATTGAAACTAAAGGATTCTATTTCTCCGTACGTATAAATTAAGTTAGAAGAATATCAGGTCTTGACAACTTCGTTCATTACCATTAATAAACTATTTTTAATGAATCGGTGAATGTATCCATAATTTGTCGGTTTCAAAGAGATCTCAGGTCGTCGAGAAATGATTGACATTGCAAATAAATGTGTTTGTTTGGACGTTTTGAAGGGTTTATGGAAAGTGGTATATCCACTGATCCTCTAAAAGCCGAGAGGAAAAAGCAGCGAAAGGAAAACCACCATGAGTGGCGCGCTCTACTACTATTTAAATTTTTCCTTAAGCTTTCATTTGTCTTCCCCTCTCCCCGATTTCAATGTTGCCTGGTTGTTAACAAATTGCCCACTGATTGCAGCCAACATTGCTCTGGGGAAAAAGTAACGTATTTGAGATGAATTACAAGATTTCTGTTTATTATATCGAGTGGGGTGTTGTAGACCACCCACTTAGGGGAGGGCTGCCAACTGTTATCGCCACTCATTCTAGTTATTACTCTTCCCGATGTGATGTTTTGTAGGGGAAGAACGCGCTCAAAATCATGGTTTTCATCTCCACCAATAACATGTGCATTGTGCATCTGAAATTGTACCACTAATCGTTTTCGTTTATTGGTTCCAAAGGATAACTGAACCTTTCGAAAATTACAATTAAAATTGTGAAAATCTGCGAACTTAAATGCTGCCATTTCAACCTAGCTTAGCAGCCTGGCCTCTTGTGACACTTCAAAGTCTCATTCCTCTCTCCTCTAAAAGATTTGTTTGATTAAGGAGCTATACAAAAAGACATATACCAAATAATGATATCCACGAGTAGCAGCTTATTTTGAACCGATTCTGGGATGCCATACACGTGCTGAAAGACTTTTGAATCAATTACAAAATGGCCGCGGCCATAGTCGAATGTTCACAATTTTTAATGACGCAAACTTGATTTGACCAGCGGATGAAAATCAAATAGAGCAAGGATCCCGGCATGTGAAATGAGTGTTATGTGGCCTCTTTTTTTCACTTGCGATGACCATTGCATTACTGGATTGTCGAAAGTGAGGAAAATTTGATGACAACTTGACTCGTTGGAGTCTAAAAACGCAGCAAGTGGTTATTTTTTAATATTTATTTTTCAATGGCTGGGATTAAAATGGTATGAGCATATGGGGCACACTTCTCCTTTAGAGAGGGACATGTTATTTCCGTATCGTTGGATGAAGCGAGTTGTGTATTGTGTTTGGTTACTGAAGTTCCTAAGCAAAATTATCTGGAGTAATCTCTAGAACAAACAGTTATAATAGTTCGTTTAAGCGGGAGGCTGGAGTTATCGCGGTTCTTATGTGTAATAAATCGTTTGTTGTTCAAGTTTGTTTGATCAAGATGGCTCGATACAAGAGTTTACATTCTCTTGCTTGATATTAGCCTCTTTCTTTTACCACTTAATTTAAAAAATTTTACCACTTAATTTAAATATAAACCAAAGAAAGACAATCACCGCTCCTCTTGGCTGTACGCGTTCACTTGTGAGGTTAGTTTTCTCCAGGTATGCGCAAAGCTTGTACGAGAATTTTACTGAGGTTTTTAATTATCGTATAGACTAAAATTTTCCCTACGCAAACGGAATGCATGTTAAGAGTGCGTCGACTCTTCAAACAGAACGGCGAGTCTTTACAAACACACGCTTTCGTCCAAAACCCGCGGAGGCACGTGCAGTTCCATAGCCTCCGTGGCTTTTTCAACTTCAACACCTCCCCACGCTTAGATAGAGAAGCAAATATTTGCACGTAAAACATAATTGCAGGAAAGTGGTTTAATAGAGGGTTAACAGTGGGTTATTCAAATAAAGAGTTTAAAGGTTTGCCGATGCATGCTTCTATTACTGTAATATTTTTTTATCTCCATTGCCATTGTGTCGCAATATTGTCATTTTTAATTACATTCTTTGCGCGTAGTTCGCTTTTGTTACTAAAGACGCGCTCAGACATATTTTTCTCTGAATTTCCCAACAATAAGCACTAAAAAATTAGGACTTCATTGTTTTATTTTTTTTTCTTTTCACGCTGTGTAATCGTGCAAGCGACTGTGACTGCTTTTACTCTTACATATTCAAAGTTCCATAGTTTGCTTGAAGCACTCAAAATACTCTGAAACTTCATTACGAAGTATTAAATAACAGAGGCATTTTATGGTTCAAAGGATAATTGTCAGAAAGAACGCTGGAAAAGACAAAGGAGAAAAAGTTTGAAAAGAACAAGATTTAAATATTCATAAACTTTCTCTCGAAGTTCAATAGTTTGCTTTAAGTACTCAAATACTCTGAAACTTCATCAAGAAGTATTAAATAAAAGAGGCATATTAGGGTTCATAGGATAATTGTCAGAGAGAACGCTGGAAAAGACAAAAGAGAAAAAGTTTGTAAAGACTTAAAATATTCATAAACTTTCTCCGGAATGTTCCTCGTTTGTTTGGGAAAACAAAAGATGTCATTGCAACGTAACTACCCACACGGAACAAACGTGACCTCTCGTCCTTTAAAGATAGCATCCGTTTTGCCAGTTTCTCATTTCCAAAGGACGATTTAAACAAGTATCCTACAAGTTCTCCACTCAGCGAAATCACGAGTGAATGATATATACTGTTTTGCTTTAATTTATAAGCCAATCAACTCGCAATTAATGCTCTTCACACCTCATCCAGACGACCTTAAGCTCATTAAATTTGTTTATTGACTGTTCAGTGAAAGAATTTGCTTCTTTTGGCGTAAAAACCTTGGCAACGTCGAAGAACTCAGCGCACGAGATGTTTGCCTTTAAAGAAAGAGTGGAGAGGAATACGATAGATTTTGCTGCCGAACGAGCGCGAATTAAGAAAGGTAAAGTACTAACTGGAAGGTATTCTCTTCCTGAATTAAGCCAAACAAGAGAAAGTTTTGTTCTTCCCGACATTACAACTACTCAACTAACACAAAACTTCGCAATGGCTCGTACACGTTTGAAGAACAGCGAAGGAACGAATCCAGGACATGCAAAGAAGGTTGCGAAACAGGGCCGACTTAGAGATAACACCGTTGCGTTGGAAGAAAATGAAGGAAAGAGCATGGATGACTTAGAAGGATTATTCGTTTCTAAACTGAACTTTCAGGATGAGGATCGAGATGATTCACCCCAATTCTCTCAGCCATTGGATGGCGCAAAGAAACTTAGAAAACAACGAAGCCGTCTTTCGAAAACTGACAGCGGATTTGGTGAAGATTCAAGCGACGATGTTGCGGCTTACTTCGCTGATTCTCCGAATGAATCCGACCAGGTGTCGAATACTTCGAAAGGCTCGACTTCGTTGCCTTCGCCTGATCAATCGGCAAGCCGAGTCTCACCTCGAGAAAGAACACATAAGATAAAGTCAGACTTCAGGAATATTTTGAACCGAAAGCAAACTATAGTGCGAAATACAGAAAAGCTAGCTGCACGGCCTCACATGTGTGTTCAATCGCAACAATCACTTCATGCTGACTTGATAGCGTTTAAAAATTTTACGGCCTCTGATAATGGTGAAAGTTTAAACTGCACTTTGCAGACAAACGAACACTGTGTGAAACTCAGAGAAGTTGTTTTAAAGACCAAAAGAAATTCGTACGATGGTAGCGATGCCCTAAAACAATCAGACACTTCACTTGCTGTTCTGAAAACGCGACGCCGGCTTTTAGGAAAACAAATCTCAACGGGACCTCCATTTCCTTTCACAGAACGGCGAATTCACAAAGAACGTGTAATAGACATGACGAAAGCAGTTTGTACCTGTAACAGTAGTCGTGTGCACTTCTCGGATTTCGACAGAATGGATTTAAACAGACAATGCGTCAGCTGCCCTGCCGATTTTCGAGCTTCTCAAGAAAGAGTAAAATTGTCGGACCATGACACTAACCCGCATTTTGGGTCTGCAGTTTCTACGTGTAGTTTAACTGAACAAGCTTTGCTTGAAAGCTCGCGGTCGCAGGAGACTGTGGATGTCAAAATGAAATGCCAAGAGTGGCTAACCAGATGGTTAGCTTCCAACAGCAAATCGCAACACGAAGAAACTATAAATGAAGACATTTGTTCCACAACGCATTGACCCATTTATGAAAGTCGTAATAGCCTGTCAATGAAATTTTTCCAAGATTTTATAATCTCTTGAATTGCCATAATAATGTCATTTTTCAAAAGTAATTAAGGCATAACAGGTTATGAAAAATTCAGTAATCAAAGTGTTAACTATTACAATTTTTTCTTAGCCTGTTGTACCTGTGACCATTTTTTTATACTCGACGAATATTTCAACAACAAGAACAGCTTTGCATTTGAATTCAATTTTTCGTAAGTGTTCTGGACACTACGCACTGTTGGACCCTTCACTGTTGGACCCTTTTCGTTTTTGCTGTAGTTTTTGTTTTCAAATCACATCAGTGTACAATAAATTACTCTGTTAAGATGTGCTTTACAAATCAGTATCTTGTTAATGCTTGTCTTTTTATTTTTATGTTTCCTTTTCCTGCTAGACCTTGTGGTTTTTTCGGTTTGCATGGCTCCTAAACATTACTCGACTAAACGAAATTTCTTTAGAGTGTTGACGAGGAAACCCTATCGGTCAATATTTTTGCGCGAAAAAGGTTGGAAACATGTTACACATCTGAAAGAAAGACAAAGTTTTAAAATTTTAATGAACATATTCCCATTGTGGGTTCCTGACAGACGCTGTTTACTCTCTTTGTTGCCTCATCTGTTTGATCATTTTCCTCATCTTATCCCTGAACGAAAAAAGTCTCATTTAGGAAAATTGTTGAGGCGCAAATTATTTGAGAGGATGCTTAAATGGGCGAGTGGCATGTGCGTAAACAGTTTAAGCTTGCGCGGTTGTAAGTGGTCGGTGGTAAAAAAGATAGAAAATATGATTCTCACCTGATCGCGTAGAGCTTATCTTCCACTGATTCCCAAGGACTACGATCTTCACTAAATTCTAGAAGTTCTATTAAAAGGCGAGACGACCAGTTAAATCGACTTCAAGATGAAAACACTTAAAGACTTCAATAATAAAACACTGAAAGTTGGTAAGTGTTCATCAGTTAAAGATGACGCCGGAATTTTTCCTGCTTAGAGCCATTACCCATGAGGTAATCATTACGTCACAAGAATTTCAATCGGTCTGAACAAAAACCAAACCTTCTGCTAGTTTCTTTTCGCTAATCCAGCCTCCCTTTTTGTAATACTTTACACGCAGATTCTGGAAGAACAATTTATTACAACACGTAAAAAAATGAGTAAATCAGGTGAATAATCTATTCATCTGCAATTCATCTAGTAGAAAAAGAAATCGAGTCGAAACATTACTTGGGTTAGGATTCACGCCAAATTCATTCGGGTTACACAACTGCACAGCAACGAAATTGGCAACGAAAGATTTATTGCATATGAATAATCTACAACCCAAGAAGAAAAACACTGACCAGTATACACGTCTTTGAAACACGATCTCCGTGCCTTACCGCTTATTACCTACCAGAAAAGGAAATCTTTCCATGCGTGTGAGCTGTAAAATACGATCCACATCATACTCCAGACGAGCAACTTTCTTGGCTTGAATGTAGGTCGTGCTCATCTGTGCAATAAGTATGTTGAGAAGAATAACAATCACTGTCCCCATGTACGCCAGCATTAACAGAATGGAGAGCCAACTGCAAGGAAAACATTAATGAAATCAGTGACTTTCAACGATTAACAATCACGACATTCGTGCAAGAACGAGCACGTACCGCAGCCTAAGGTAACGAAACGTAATGAACAAAACGTAACATATGTAACGTATACATTACATGCACTTCAGTCAAAGGCACTTACTTGAAAGTAGAGTAATCTTCTGCAATTGGTCGTTGTTCAGACAGTGCACGAAAACCGCTTAACAAAACACTTTGAAAACCACTAAAAACAAAGAGTGAATAAAAAGTGATTTTCTTTGTGGCTAAAGCCGCCATACGAATGACGAGCCAAAGTCAAAGCTGCCACTAAAGAAAAACAGAGCTGCCGTAGATTAATATATGGATGCTCTGTTTGAAAACAAAGTTAGCTGGGCTTGCAGAATATTTTCACGCCTGTGCAATCGTCATCATCAAATACGACCTTTTTAAAGCATAGAAAAAACTGAGATTGGAAATGGAGAGAATTTTGAACCAAAAGAAAACCAAAAAGAAAGAAAAATCTTCATCTATAGAGAAAGTTGCCTAACATCGACAAAAACTTCCCTGACATTTTCTTCAAATCTCGACCAAATTTTACCAAGTTTTGATGAATGGTAACGACCAAGAGTATTGTGTACTTAAAAAAACCGCTCTCATCGGGAATCTATACGCTTCTAATGGCAGAGATTAACATTCAATGGTTTTTGGAGTTTATTTCTCTTTGATACCCACCTAAATTCCTTGTTATCTGGGATTTGACGAGAAGAACGGAGAGACAAAAACAAGGCAGAGCAGAAAGGAAAAAAAATCACGGAAAAAACAGCCAGAAAGCGGGCTAAATCTTGCTGAATAATCTTAGCCAAGGTCTTGGTGTATAACCCTGTGGTCCTACAGGCAAAATAATCATAGTTCTCTGTTAACTCAAATAATCAGGATCACGAATAAACGTTCCTCTAAAAAAACAAATCTGTTACAACACCAAGGTAAAAGACTAAACAAAACCAAGCACATTAACAACACACAAAATAATTGAAACACAAGGGATAACTGTAACCAGCACCAGACCAGAAATTTAAGTTATGCTAATAATTTTAAGTTTTTGTCTGCCTCTACAAGTCAGATTAAACTCCATCATCGAAACTTAAAATTAAAGTTCTTTATTTGAGAACCTATTTCGATCTTCTTCCATTATAAAATAGTAAATTAATTTGGCCTTTTTAAACCTCTGAAGTTACACTTGATTAGGGGGGTCTCTAAGTCGCACAGCACAAACTTCGTCATAATTCAAACTAAAGAAGTTTATAGAGAACAATAAATTAACATTAAAATTCAACCAAACATAGTTTGAGTATTTGATTACCTCGTCAGGCAAGAAAACTTTAATATCCTCAAGAAGTTAAATAGGAAAGCTGACGATGCCACCAACCACTGTGATTTACTACCAATATACCGCAAGGGTATTACACACAGGATCAACACCAGGCCTAACCAGTCAAACAAGGTTATCCACTCAATAAAGTATGAACAGCCATTTCTGAAAGAAACCAGTTTGACACAAGAATTAAGACCAAGACTTTCTTTAAGCCCTACAGGTTTTCATGAATTCTTGATCTGCAATTAACTGCGTCCCAGAATATTGAATTGAACCCTTTTATGTATTATGATATATCTCTGTGCATGGTATCAATTTTTACATGTAATTAATTTACTCAACTTTATAAAGCAGTTTCTCAAAACAGCACTAATACTACCATAATGTTACTCAAATATGCAACAATAGTGTAACATAATTAGTACTTATATCAACCAAAAAATTTGTTAAAAATTAATTGAAATGAAAAAAAGTGCAAATTAAAAAGTTTCACGACTTACATTCTCATTTGATTGATTTCTTCACACATGTAAAACAAAACCATAAGAAGGGTGAACACTTCACAAATCCCACGAAATAAATCTGCTGTACCCCTGTACTGGGTAGGGTCCAGTTTTGTGGAGGCATGAAGCAGAGAATATGACAAGAACAGCAAGAATATGACATACAAAGCTGCTTGAAGGCTGTGGAAAAAATAGAGATAAAGAGATAAGCAGCCAGGTGAAGAAGCTATTAGACGCATTTGTGGACTTGAAAAAATATTCATTAAACTATTTAAAACATATTTTCAATTAACTTGTAAAGGTTCCCAGACTAACCGGTAGATGTGAATCTGGTAACTGACTATGCACTTTTCATTAGCTTGTTAATGGGGAACCCTGTGTGGAAGGAAGGCAGTGCCAAAGTTGCAGGGCTACTGTTAAAAATTAGTAAGGGACCTGTCAGCTTGCTTAGGAAAACTATGTTACAAGCCTAAAATACTTTTACCTCAGAAACAAGTGTCCATAACTGTTCCATTTTGTTTTAACCAACATTCTTACCACAGGATGTTGCAAAGCCTCCTGAAGATGAAAATTAAGCAGAATAAAATTACCATGTAATTAAAAAAAATTCAATTATTGATTGAGAGGAATGACAGGAAAGTATTGATGATCTTGGGCCAAACATTTTCTCATCTGGGTCAACCTAACTCAATTACTCAGCATGTTTAGCATGTGAGCACAACTCTCACTTTAAATTCTCCTCTTAAATTCTCCTTTCAATTTAAATTGGCTTCTTGCATGGCCCTGCCCAGGGCCCCTCAGCTTTTCCCATCTCTTTTTATACCCTATTACATAAAGCCTCAACATGCAGAAAATTTTTCATCTTTATCAATATAAGTGCGGGTGGGCCCAAAAGTTTATTATGTAGTCATGATATTAATGTTGGAAGAAAGTTAAAGTTAAAGACAAATAGCCTTTCTCACGGATGTAATGCATCTCATATGATATTGTAATTGATACTCTAATGGATTTGCCAGGCAAGCTGGGCCTTAGTTTGCCCTATTTGATCTAGCTGTAACAGAAATAAAAAGGTCCTTCTTGCTATAGTTATTTCATCATTTCTAAGTAGCCTTCATTGTCACAACAAAAAAGGTTTTGATCTTACCTTATTTTTGCTCTTTGCTATAACTTCCAAACAAGATTTGTTCCTCCAATTAAAATGTGGATTGTCTCTCTCCTTTTTCTCTGCTGAGGTCTCAATCTTAGGAGGCCGCCCTCCCTCATCACCATCCAAGATATGATAATAAAATTGATAGTCCAAAGGATCATCAGTGATTGAATTCCAGGCACCTTCAACTCCCTCTCTCTCTTCTTCATTGCTGTATGTTTCCTTCCGTTGCGGAAGGTGTGGCCAATGAGGATTCACCATCTGGTCAAGGACAGCCACAACTGTTTTCTGCATGTGAATAACAAACACAAAGTAAAATGCATTTTTAAAAAGGAATAAAATTAGGCAATTTGGTGAAAGAAAAATGCTCACCTTCATTTTGGGATTTTCAATAATGGACTTGAAAGTGTAGAAAGATGGCTGGGGATTTGTAATGTCCTGATCTGGTTGCCAAGAAAATAAACTCTGGGCTCTATTAGGGCAGAAGAAACAAGAAATTTAGATTAAATATTCAATGTTGACCTCAGTAGAGAGTTGTGAACATAAGATATAATAAGTACCTATCTGTGCCTTCCTACAGTTTGTGCACTATCTGGATCAAGAAGATACACGCTATTGCTAATACACCTCCAATTTCACAACATCAAAATAAAACTGTATTCATGAAACTTATTACAAAATAATAATTTCTCTTGCCAAGCTGGTGGAGAATTTTTTTCCTACATAAATTTTATTTGTAAATTGAAAATAATTGAAGAAACTATTTGGTTCTCATGGTGCAGGCTAGTTTCATTTGATTTCTGGATAGTTCTGCAGCTTCTTCATTACTTTCTCTTGAGACCTGAGGGCAGGGATACTAAAACTCCTAATTATTCTAGGGAGTAGCTCCTTTAGTCTTTCCATCTGGCACTTTACCTTTCATGATACATTAGTCTAATCAAGTATGCTGTAACTTCATCATTCTCTGCTTCTAATGCTATCTCAACTGGTATTAATCATCTTTTTTTCAAGGGTGCTTTTGTTGCAACTGTTAATAACCATGGACATTTCTTTGCAAGAGTTTTGGTGACATCTAAAAATCCAAGTTCAGCTGCATAGTGCATTAAAGTTTTCTTTGTTTTATCTTCTTTATCTCTGAATCTCTGGTATTTGTTCTCATAGTTCAGTTCACTGTCCAATAGAATATCCAATAACCGGTTTATCTGCAAAAAAAAAAACACACAATAGCATCATGCTAACACAGCATGCATACTCAGGATCCCCGATGATTAACAAGATGTAAAACTCCCAAATCATGTTTTATAGCTCTTTCAAAATCTTGCTTCCAAACCCCACAATGAGCAATCTCTGTTGCTAAAGGTATTATGTTCCTAAGAACATCTGATATTCAAGACTTAATTATCATAAGCCTGAAGACATATTACATTTCATGATTTATAGAATTGTATGCAATGGTTGTTCAATAACCCAACCTGAAAGAAATTTAAGGAGTCATGGACCAGGAATTCTCCAATTTTTCTGACTTTCCTCCTTGAGGGGACTACATGTCATTGCATATTGTGACATAAACTTCACACTTTTTTAAGTGATTGATATTTATCAAATCTTAATAGAAAACAAATTTCTGAAAATCAAATATTACAATTTTGACCAATAAATGGCTACTTTTCAAGTAAGGTTTTCATGCAGTAACTATCTGTTCCAAATCATATTTAAGAAAAGATGATTTTAAATGTCAATACACATACAGTTAGAGGTAGCAAGACTGGTATTAATCCATTTTACATAGTAGAAAAATTGGACATGCATGATGTAATGATACACAAAAAATATGTCGCCCAACTATCTTTAGGGCCCAATGAATACAAATCTCTTTTCGTTATTGTGAGGTACAGCCCCTCAACCCCAATTATGTACTTCTAACTAACAAATCGAGGCCGGGTAGGTTAGTTTTCGACACTTACCAGCCTTTCAAGGCCTGGAAGCTTTTCAGGGCTATTTTTATACCGTTCAGAGTTTGGCCACTGTTTTAACATCATGAGTGCCGGATCCTCACTGTCCAATTCGCCATCATCCTTGTACTTTTGGATCAGTTTTTCAACTCGCACCTCATCCATGGCCCTATTCCATGATATTCCTTTACTCTGCTTTTGATTAATCTACAAAAGAATGATTTCATGCAAGGCTCATCGACAATAGGGCCGTAATCATTTACTAGCTACTTATAACTTATACCTTCAGCTCGTTGCTTTTGATCATAGTTTAAGAACGTCTACACACAGTAAAGGCCCCGGTGCTGTTGCGACGAAACCTTTTATTATTATATTCCTTTACTCTGCTTTTGATTAATCTACAAAAGAATGATTTCATGCAAGGCTCATCGACAATAGGGCCGAAATCATTTACTAGCTACTTATAACTTATACCTTCAGCTCGTTGCTTTTGATCATAGTTTAAGATAAGTTTGGTTTAGACATCAAATCGGGAGACTCCCGATCAAATCGGGAGGGTTGGAATCTCTGCATTTTGCTCTCCAAGTCTGTTGTACTTGGTACGTAGGCATGTGTCTTAACAACGTTTATAGTCTTGCCTCGATCATCTGCGGTTTTATCTAATTTTGTTGCTGTGTTTTGGTGAGAATTTTTCTGATTGCCCTTTTGGGCTTGAAGGGCTAACTAGAGGATAAACTTCGGTAGAACTTGTTTTATCACATGGCCCCCAAATCTCTCACCACTGTCAGTTCATTGTTTATTTATTTAGCCTTCGGTCTAACCAGTTCATTTACCTCAAAAAAATGCGTGGGCTTTGTCTCATGAGTTTAAACTGGTGCCGTTTTCTTCATGTTCATGTGTTATTCGAAACGGATGGCGTCAGCTTCATTCTGTCTTGTTTATTTCAGTAGAATACTTCTGCCATACGAAATGAATTTTGAGTCGAAGTGTACTATAAAACTCGCAGATTAAAATTATCTAACTTTCTCTGGTTCTTAAAACATGAGGTGAGCAATACAATAAATGAATAATTACTCAAGGGGCTGGAACTCTCTTTCTTTAGAATGTGAACTACAGTATTTCTGTCATATTTGAAAACGAATTTCGGGTTAAAATGTCTTCAAACCAGTTTGACTTGTATTTCTCTTTGCCAGATAAGTCTTGATCCTTCAATTTTTATTTCTTAATTGAGACTGATGATTGGAATTAACTATTGTGTTCTCTGCTGTTTAGGGAGATGTGAAGTGACCCCACTACATATGGTCAGTACTATTGACAGAAAGGATAGGTGTGACATTTGCTGTGGCAAGCTGGCATTCAAGAGAATGTCATTAGTACCAGAAGCTTACTACTGGTATAAATTATCAATCTTTTGTTCTCTCCACACAACTTGCCTCAACTAGCTTATGCTATATGCAACTTGTGTCTATACCTTTTTTGCAACTATAAAATTACCAATAAAGTTTTTTGAAAGTTTTGTACAAATTTCATGGGAAAAGAATATGAGGAGTGATCAGGTGAAATATTGTCCTGTTCCATAACAGTGTTTGAGCTTCCAGGCAGAGCTAAAATTTTCTTAAGCGACTGATTTATGATTTTCTGCCTTAAAATTAGCACAGCCAAACCCCTGGGATGCATAGGGTCTGCTGATTGTAATGTATATCTTTAAGCTTTGTATTAATTGTAACTGTTTGCCATTTCTATTTCTCTGTACCTTACGCCCTCAAAGTTAAAGCAGGTGAGTCAATAACCTGACTTCCTCTGTTTGGAATTATGCAATTATATAATTTTGCTGTGTAAGTTACCACATTGTAACATGTAGTATTATTATTTAGATTGCATACTGATTACATACTTTGATTTCTTTACCAGTTTCCAAGAAAGGTGACAATGCATATTTCAACCATGCCTGGTCATTGTTAGCCAAAGGGCCTTGACTGACATGCAATTTTTTTTGTTTCAGATAATGAGTATGTTTCCAGAATTAATATGTAAAAATTCAACCTGTTTGTCAGGCAGGTGTTTGAAAGGATTACAGTGTAAATTGTCCCGTTTGAATTTAATGATTGATTCTTCTTGTACCGGTCTAAACAATGAAATATAAAATATATTCTTTGTAACATTTTCCACTTTGCCAGTGTAAATGAGACATTTGACAAAATTCAATTTGCTTTAATTTAACCTGCTGTCAGTGACAAAATTAAATCCCCTAGCAGTTGCTTAAACAGAAACTGAGCTTTGCTCCCAACATTCTTAATGCCTTTATTTGTAACAAACGTTAAACAAATTTTCATTGTAAATATTATTGCAATTGCTAACATCTTTAACACGTAATTAAAGACCAATGTAGACCAATGAACAGGGTGGCCGATGATCAAGAACTATAAATAATAGTAGAGAGTATCCATACCCAGTCAGGAAGGGTATTTTGAAATTCTGTGGCGATGGGGAATAAAGTACTAAGGGACTAGAACAGAAAAAAAACATCAACAATTGTCCAGAAAGGTGAGTGGTAGTAAGGGCAGAAGGCAAGCTCAGTCACCTTTAACTGAAAGTATGGATATTTTCTTTAAACACTCAATGTAATATAAAATATAAATATATAAATATATAAATATATCAATATATAGATATATAAATATATAAATAATATCTTAGATCTTGTCTGAGCCTCAAACTTTACCAAAGGCAGGCTGTGAGAAAGCCATAAAAACTAAATTAGAATGATAAACTCCAACGAGACTCAAGAGGATTTAATGGAGCCTTTTCTCATTGAATTCCTTAAGTTTCTGTTGTGCAATTTACGGTAGAAATGTCCAAATTGAACGGATTTGGAAAGACTTACCGAAAGCGTATATTTGTTGCAGAACTTAAATAAAAACTTCGCTCGCCTTTTTAATACGAAAAAATTGTTTAAGAAATTCAGATATTAAATGAATGAAACTTCCATCGATCAGTTCAACCGTAACCAAATACTTCGCGTTTTAGCTTTCTAGGTAGCTCTTGTGAACGATTAAAATTAATTGCAGGCGGTTTTTAGGCCGCTTGTCAACCAACGTAATAACACTATTGCTTATACAAAAAAGTCATTTTGAAACCAAAATTTTTCTGTCAACCAAAGTGATTTGAGAGAGAGAAAAGAGAGGATTAATAAGTTATTGATCGGCTTGAGGTAGTGACCAACGTCTTTACTTAAAAATACTGCCCAGCCGGTAAAACGAGATATAAATTTATGAAAAATGGCAACAAATGTAGGCATGTACTCGGCGACTCATGAAAGTGTTACCGTTGCCCGTGGGCAGAGATAAGAAAATACTGACCGGGTAAAGAACCAATCAGATTACAGGATTCGTTACCATGCCCTCTGAAAAAAAAAATTGTTGCTAATATTAACGTACATCACAGCTCAAGGTTTACGCCTGTTCCGGTTTCGCTCTGGTGTAGTATCATGTCTAGTACCACTACAAGCGCAGCATATGAAATTAGTATCTCCACATGTTTTTTCCATACATTAAAGCTTGTGTCATTCTGCAAATTATTTTCAGTTGCCCAACCCACAATCAGCCGCCCCATTACTATACGGACACAATGTAACCGGATCCATGGGATGTTTTCTGGCACCCACGCGCCGGGAGGAACTTGACGGCTCTCCAAGTATCGAATGAACTCACAAGTAAATCCATCGATAACTCGACAGGCTCCTTGTGTTGTAAATTTGTAGCCATCAGCATCAAAAAAGGCGCCCTTACACTCCTCTGACAGTACGAAGTCCTGATGATCCCTTCCCAATAACTCCTTGTTGAAAAACAGATCGTACTGCCAGCTGTGATAACGTTTTATAATTTCTCGGTCAGCCCTTAGTTGACCACGTCGTCCTCCAGTACTTTCCTTCATATGCATTGGGGCTTCGTGCTGATTTGGTAGGAGTTTGTGGCGGG